TAAGCCACCAGGTCCAGGACTCAAACCATGGTTGACTACACGGGAGTCCAGCAACATAGCCATTACGTCAACTGCTGGTCTCTGTCTGCTGTGTTTTTCAAGTCTTTGAGGCTGAGACGAGAACCACAGAGCTGACAATGTGGTGTCTAGTACCTTAACCACCATGCCATTCACGGGTCCAAATTTATTCTTTGAGATAACATATTGCAGGGAAAAACTAAGATATTAAATAATACTACTTTTGGGACCAGCAGATCACATAATGGTTACGTTGCTGGACTACCACAATGCCATTTGTGGTTCGATTCCCAGACCCAGCAGCTTGAAACTCACATGGGGAGCATGTATATGAGTGCCCAAGATGCCGAGAGGAGGATGGAGGAGAAGGGATTGCGGTGTGGTCATCCCCTGGGGGGTGATTTCTCGCTTTCTGTCTCTCTGTCTCTCTCTGTATTTCTGGTGAGTGCATGCGCTCTATAGTAAAACGCTCTCTAAAATGACAATAATAATATTACTTTTACTTTATTTGAGCTTAGAGGAAAATGTGATCATACGAAAGTACTTACCTATGTGTGCCAGTTGTATGTTCAGGGATGACCTGTAGCCAAAGCACAATATCTATTTTGCTTCCCATATTCTATAAGGAAAAAGTTCACGTGATAATCATGGAGCCTGCTGTTCAAATTGTCTCAAAGACTATAAAAGTTGAAAGACAATGGGGAGCAGCAGGTGGCATGGTGTTTAAGGTGCTGGACACTCCCACATGACTGACCACGGTTCTAGTCTCAGACCTGGTGGCTTGCTTTTTCACTTCTCTCTCTCTCTCTCTGATCATATTAACATAAAATGAATAAATAACTAAAGTGAAGTAAAAATAATTCTTCAAAAAAAGTTGAAAGATGAAAAGAAGTGTTCATGGTCTCTAAAATCAGTCTTATTTATACTTTTGTACTCTGTTTTGCTGTTCAACCATATTTATAGAAAACTCTCAGTGGGAAAAATAAAACTACATTAGGTATCAAATAAATACAGTCTAAAGTAGAGTTAGACAACAGTCAATTAAGAAATACTTTCGCTCTCTTTTTTTTTTTTTTTGGAGAGGTTTTTGTTATAGGGAGCATACGCTCGCCAGACAGACAGAGACAGAGAGACAGAAAGCGAGAAATCACCTCCCAGGGGGGATGGTCACACCGCAATCCCTTCTCCTCCGTTCTCCTCTTGGGATCTTGGGCACGCACGCACACACACATGCCCGGCGTGAGTTTTAAGCCACCGGGTCCGGGACGCGAACCACGGTCGACTACATGGGAATCCAGCGACATAGCCATTATGCTAACTGCTGGTCCCGAAATACTTTCGCTTTTTAAATTTTAGTTTTATTATTCTTATTTTACATATATATTTGTGTGTGTATATATATACGCATGCGCTCACCAGAGAGAGTGAGAAACCAAGCTGAAGGTCCAGGACTCAAACCACAGCTGGCCACGAGGGAGTCCAGTGGCTTAACCACCACACCACCTACTTGCCCCAGTACTTTTATTTTTTATGAGCTAGGTACTGATTCAGGAAGATAGCGATGGAGGACATGACTTCCAGATTCCCCTTTCAGTAAGAGGCAGGCAGGATTCATACTTGTACTTTTTTTAAACTCAAAAAATTTTAAACCTAGAAAACTTTTTTTAAACATTGATTTATTTATTATGATTTTTTTTTTCTTAGCCTCTGGATCTAGGACTTGAACTGTGGCCGGCCCTTTAAGAATTCGGCATCTTGGGACTAGCAGGTGGTGTGGTGGTTAAGGTGCTGGACACTCCCACATGGCTGACCACGGTTCTAGTCTTGGACCTGGTAACTTACTTTCTCACTTTCTCTCTTTCTCTCTCTCTCTCTGGTCAAATTAAAATAAAATGAATAAATAAATAAAATTAAATAAATATTAAAAAAAAAAAATTCAGCCCCTTAACCACTAGCAGCAGGCAAGATTCTTGGGATTTCTCCTCTCGTTAACCCAGCAGCCACGGCTGGGGCTAATTGCTAACTGTCAGGCCCAGGATGAGCCTGGAGGAGCTCATTAAAGACCGCCTTTGCCTTTAAGGAGCTCACTTAGGGTTGGGTAAGAAACCACAGAGTGGTCTGGACTGACAGGACAAGGCCACTGAGTCCCTCCAGGTCTAATTCTCCTCTAACTTGTGATTCCATAAATTGTTCATCCGTAAAATGGGCTTACTGGGACTTAATGGGTAGCTTCGCTGTGAACGCTAAATCTTGCCGTGGAGCCCTGTGCACCGGGCAGCCAGCCTCCTGCGGGCTGAGCGTGGCCACCCAGCAGTCGCAAGCCCCTTTCACGGCTCAGAGGGCTGGCAAATTACTACACGGGGGAGATTTCAAACCTCAGATGTTAAATGTGGTAAGTTCTGTGTGTGAAGTCAAAACAGCTTGTCGGGAAGGACGATGGAAAGGTTACCGGGCAGGGTGGGGGGTGGGGGATACAGGCAACCCCGAGGTGAGGTCTGCAGGAGTTTGTCTGCAGGTGGACGAACGAGCTGGCCTTGGGCTGGCTCCATGGCCTGGTGGTTAAGAGAGCTGGTGTTTGGGACCTGCAGTTAGTGTAATGGCTATGTCGCTGGTCACAGACAGAAGAAATCACCCCCAGGGGGTATGGCCACGCTGCAATCCCCTCTCCTCCGTTCTCCTCTGGGGATCTTGGGCATGCACATACATGCACCCTGCGTGACTTTAAGCCACTGGGTCTGGGACTCAAACCGCAGTAGACTATATGGGAGTCCAGTGACATAGCCATTATGCCAACTGCTGGTCCCACATTTTTTTTTTTTAAAAAGAATTATTTTATTTAACTTTATATATATATATTATATGTGTGGGCAGGTGTGTATTTATTTATTTATTTCAATTTGACCATAGAGGACAGAGAGAGAGAGAAAGCAAGCTGCCGCTAGGCCCAGAACTCGAACCATGGTCAGCCATGGGGGAATCCAGTGCCTTTAACCACCCTGCTACCTGCCGGCCCCCTATTTCAGTTTTTATTTATTTTTTTCTAGAGAGATTTTTTGCTATGGGGTGCATGTGCTTGCTGGAGAGACAGAAAAAGAGACAGAAAGTGAGAAATCACCCCTCGGGGGATGACCATGCCGCAACCCCTTCTCATGCATTCTCCTCTTGCAAGTTTGGGCACTCACGCACATGCACACAGCGTGAGTTTTAAGCTGCCGGGTCCAGGACTCGAACTGTGGTTGACTACGTGGAAGTCCAGTGATATAACCATTATGCCATCTGCTGGTCCCCAGAGCAATGTTTTTAAGTGTATAAAGTGCAAGCTATTCTATTGCGGTGCGGTTATCAGAATACTGAAAACACAAGTACAGTGTGTATGTATGTATCAATCTACTACTATCAATAAGGTCTAGCAGGAGTATAACTACTACCATAATTTTGTAGTAGCAGTGTGGAAAAGGAATGTTTATGATGGGACCAGCAGTTAGCGTAATGGTTATGTCGCTGGACTCCCACGTAGTCGACCACAATTTGAGTCCTGGACCTGGCGGCTTAAATTCACGCCGGGCACGTGTGCGTGTGTGCCCAGCATCCCGAGAGGAGGATGGAAGAGAAGGGATTATGGCGTGGCCATCCCCCCTGGGGGTGATTTATTGCTTTCTGTCTCTCTTTCTCTCTCTGTCTGGCGAGCGCACGCACCCTATAGCAAAAAAATAAAAATAACTGGAATGTCTGTGAAAATGTCTGATTTGTACTGGTTGTGGGGGTCACAAATATCGCTAATCACACTGGGGTTTATTGCCTATATCCATCATTGGTGGAAATCCTACATTTTTTAAAAAAAGCATTATTTCTTTATTTTAATTCCATTTGTTATTATTATGTTTTTTAAAATCTGACCAGACAGAGTGAGAGAAAGAAAGGGAAAGTGAGAAAGCAAGCCACCAGGTCCGGGACTCAAACCATGGTCAGCCATGTGGGAGTCCAGCATGTTTAACCACCACACCACCTGCCAGCTCTGAAATCCTAAATTTTGATTCCAAACTAGTAAAAATCAAGTTGTGTTTCTTTCTGCATCCAAGTTCAAGGAACCACAGATCCCAGATGATGAATCCCGGGTTTTAGACTATGGCTCCTCCACAGGGTTCCCTGCCTTCAGTCACAAGCTTCGGCCTCTAATCTCGTGTCTAGTTTGGAAATGCAGACATCTAATCAAGTCATTTCTCTCCTTCAAACTCTTCACTATGGGGCCAGCAGATGGCATAGTGGTTATATCACTGGACTCCCACATAGGGGATCATGGTTCAAGTCATAGACCTGGTGGCTTGAAACTCACACCAGGCACATGTGCATGCGTGCCCAGGATTCCAGGAGGAGAAAGGATTGTGGCATGGTCATCTCCCCAGGGGGGGATTTCTCACTTTCCATCTCACTGTCTTTGTCTCTCTCTCTCTCTCTTTCTCGCTCTGGCGAGTGCATGTGCCCTAAGGCAAAAACCTCTACAAAACAAAACAAACTCTTCACTAGTGGGCCAGCAGGTGGTGTGGAAGTTAAGGTGCTGGATCCTACATAGTTCAAGCCTGGACCTAGTAGCTTGAAAAAAAATCACGCTGGACACGTGTGTGTGCATACCAAAAAATCCCAAGGGGAGAATGGAGTAGAAGAGATTGCGGCGTGGCCATCCCTTAGGGAGCGATTCCTCTTTCC